CAAATGTCAAGCAACCCTATGCTTTTAAACCGAGTTATTGGTGCACAGAGTGGAGGTTTAAGAGCGGCACTTTTAGCGAAAATGGCAGGCTATGGTGGAGCTGCAGACGGAACAGCTTATAACCCTCAAAGTCAAATGAATTTGAGTTCACTCAAAAATCAAATAACAGATGTCAAAAAGTCAAACATAGACATACAGAAACAAATAAATGAAAACGAAAAGAAACTAGAATATGACAGACACACAAAGAAACTAAATGAGTTAAACGTAGAGAAAAAGAAGAAAGAAGAACAACTGAAAGAACTAAGTACAGAGGAATATGCGAAAAAAGTGTCAGAAAAAGCAGCAGAAGTAGCAAAAATGGAACAAGATGTTATAAATTTGAAAAACCATACTACTCAATATAAAGTACTGAAAGATGAAGAGATAAAACAAAAAGCCATGAAGACATATATGGATAGCGATGAGTATAAAAAAGAAGTTGAAGCAAATGTAAAGGCAGAAAAACTTTTACAGTTGCAAAACCAAACCGTACAGTATGAAAACTTAGCACAAGAAAGTAAAAATAACGACGCAGCCATGCAAAAGGCAATGAAAAGCGCAGAATATATAAAAGCTAATAATGACTGGTTAGATGCCCAAGCCAACGCCAAAGCAGCCCAACTTATAGGGTCAATAAGGACAAAAATACAAGCGGATGAAGACAGTTCAAATGAAGCTTTAATGAATGCTGACTTTAAGAATGCCTTCGAAGCTCTTCATAGTAAGGTGAAACAAGTGAACGATTTCTCATCTGGAAAGAAACTGAAGTCTGAAGGTTTCGACAAAGAGTTAAGAGAAGTAGCACAAAATATGACGAAAATAACAGATGCAGCAACGAGACAGGCAGTTCAAAGTGCCTATGACGCCGTTAGAGCAGCTGTTGTGGAAAGTCAAGAAAAAGAGTTACAACAGACCAAAACAGACCTAGTAAATGCTTTCTTAAAAACGAAAAGTCAGGTAGGACATTATGCTGCAGATGGAACTTATATACCAGCTGGTGGAACTTATATACCACCAAACCCTCCAAGAGAAGCACCTGCACCAGGACTACCTAAAACATTTACATCGTCACATGGACACAGACACAGGCATGCACCAAAACCAACACAACAACCAACACAACAACCAACAGTTCAAAATCCTGCACCACAACAGCAACCAACACCACAACCAACAGTTCAAAACCCTGCACCTGCACCACAACCAAAACCAACACAACAACCAACAGTTCAAAATCCAGCACCACAACAACAACCAACACAACCAGCACAACAACCAACAGTTCAAAACCCTGCACAACAACAACCACAAACAGAGCAAGGACATAAAAGAAGTAGAGAAAAAGGAAACCAAGAATTCTTAAAAATGCTTAAGGAAAATTATGGTTACCCAGATACTCTTGACTTTAGTGACAGATATAAAGAAGTTATTAGAAAGTTCAAGGAAGGAAATACTGACCCGAACCTATTTAGCTTTATGGCTCAGCATCATTTCGGATATAATCTCAAACCTGGAAAATACAAGCTCGCTAAGGGATATGATTTAATAGCATATCATCCAAATGACATGAATGAATTTACTCCGAGATATTTGATCTCAGAGCTAAATGATAATTCAACTCTCTTCATGAAACGCGTAAAAAATAGAGACGGAACGAAAGAAGAAAGGTTTATGAGTCCGGATGACTTAGATAGGGAACTTTTTAAAAACGGTCTCGGAATATATGAAATGCCAGCAGATGAGGTACAAGAAACTCCACAGGAAGAAGTTCAGATACAACCAGACATGGAAGAAATAGTTCAGCAACAACAGCTAGAAGAGCCTGAAGGAAACAAACAAGTCCCTCCTTTGGAAACTAACTTCACAGAACTAGATGAAGATTTGGAACAGCCGAAAAATCTTGACCCTCAACAAGTGTATGAGGAGAATATGGAATCTTTCCAAGAGTCTAAGAAAAATTCGGCTGACATAGTAGAAGAATATCGAAAAATGTTTACCGACATACAAAAGACTCCAACATCAGATGAAAATATTCAGCATAGAATGGAAGAACTGAAAGATAATGTACGCAAATACAATAATCCTTTTTACTTACGACCATATAACGTTCAATCTTTGGCTGAACTCGGTGAAAATAAAAGGTTAAATTTCAACAAAACATATAGAAATGAAACATTGTTTAAAGTTCATTCAGAACCTAACCAATATGGAAACAAACCTACTTTTGTTTCTGCAGACTATGGAACTACAATGAGATGGGGTCATAAAGCTAATCCGGATAGGTGGTTCATAAACTTACAACCTCAATTCCAAGAGTTGTAGACGCAATGGAAGTGAATGGTGAACCGATATAGCTGGTATTTTCAGCGCGCTTTAATGCCATTGAAAGATATGAAAGATGCAGATATTTTGGACCAGTAATGAATGAACATGGCTGATGGAAATATAACACCTGACGTTCTAGAACATTTATCTCAAAGAACTACACAGAACCATAGAGATGGTATATTTGGTGAAGAGTTTAGAAAGAGAGTTAGGGGAGAGAGAAGGAAGAGAACTATTGTACATGACCTTGCAAACGAAAGTTTGCAAAATGTCATAAAAACTTACTTTGCAGACAATGAACCGAGAGAAGGATGAATATTTAAGAAAACTCAAATGGACAGTACCAAATGAAATGTTAGTATTAAAAACATGTTCCATGACAAAATAAAACCAACTACAGAAATAAATGACGCAAGACTGAAACGTTGGGTAAAAGCTTTCCCATTCACAAAAGATATTATTGGTAACATGGAAAGAAAACCAGAATGGCTACAAAAACATATATTTGGAAACGAGCTTATTCCATATGGACAAGCTCTGTTTGAAGAGCTTGAACCGGAAACTCAGGAAAGAGTCATGCAAACAATAAACGAAGACTCAAATACAAACTATGACAAAAGTTAGTATACATATCTCGTGTACTGAGGCACTGCGCGCCTCCTTACCCATTATATGTGAATTTGACACTTTACGAAACTGTTAACGTATATTTTACAACACAAACGACAACACTAACTTAACCTTAAATATTTACAAAGCCGCCAACCACTTCACCTCACTAATGAAAAAATAAATGTTTTCACAAACGACTTCACTACTGTAAAAAATAAACGTTCTCACTTACAAAAGTATTGCAACTCTTCCCATTGCTGTGCTTCACACAATAGTTCATATTCTTCAGTATCGCTGCTGTCGCTCCAATCGTCAGAGTCAAAATCACTGTCAAAATAAATGTTAGTAAGTTTTGACAAAGCTAATGAAACACGCTTACCGTTTGTATCGTATGCTTGTATAAACTTTCCATTCTTCATTCCTTCATAAACGCTCAAACTAACTTTACCCTTTCTCCCTCGTATCTGATAGAATGTATTTTCACGAGGAACGAAGAACAAATTCTTGAACTCATGACCGTTGTAGTTTGTTATCTCAATAGTTTTCGTCATTTATATAAAAATAAAATAAAAAATAAACTTAAAAATTAATGATATCACCACCCTCACACGTATGAAAACATAGCACAAAAATAAATTTAGGTGAAGTGGTGAGATCTCACCTGTTTTTTCACCTGTTTTTTCACCCTGTTGAATTCATTGCTTTATAACTCTCTTCCTTGGTTTCTTTTTAGTTGCTTTCTTCACGTCTGTCTCCAACTTGACTGTCTTTCTTCTTCGTCCGTAATGATACCAGTTACTTCCACCAGTCAATGGGTCAAATGGTCGTTCATAAGGGTTTCCATACATTCCATAGGGACCATACGGAAGAACTACTGGTGGAGAAGAAACATTTTCTTTAGTTCCATCGACTCTATTTAAATGCATTGTTTCACCTTTCATCTGGTCATTAAAGTCTTTTGCGTGTTTTGCAAATTCATCGTCCTTTCCTAAAGCATTTTCTGACTCAGTCGCAACCAAATTGGATGCTTTATTTATGAGCCCTATTTTATTTAATCTTAACTTCTTTGCAACCCAGCCTCCAATCTTCCCTTTATTTGCATCTAATGTCTTTGAAACCCTTCCTCCACTCATTTTATTTACTGCGTCATAAGCTCCAAGTGCTTTTGCTCCAAATGCTAATGCTTTTGTTCCCATTGCGCCTAAAGCTGCCCAAGCTACCATTTACACCATATTAAAATCATCTCTCTTCAATATTATCTCATAAAAGTTCTCGTTACTGGAGAAAGTCAATGAAACATAAGCGTTCTCACGGGCTTCGCCCTCACCGCTTTGCGGTCTATCTAACTTCTTTCTTATATCATCTATACGCTTCAAAATGTCTGAACAATTGCTAACATCTTCTACAACAGTTATTTCATCATGAATGACCTTCAAGAACAAGCTCATTTAATATGCTATTAAAATCATCTCAATAATGAGTCCATCCTTTCCATCTTTAGGTAGCACAACATCTTTCATTGAAGAAGGTTCGACAAGTCTTATGTTAAACTTACTGACAAAGTTTGTTATACTATAATGCTTCGGCGGCGAATACATGTAGTTTGAAAGACATAATATAGATTCTTCAGCAAATTCACTTATACTGGATTTTATAACAATGTTCTCACGAGACCAAATACCACCAATTGACAATCTTGTAAGCAATCCTGCTGAACCTTCTACTGTAAACGTCGATGGTAACATTCCACGAAGGTCATCTATTGACATCTTTGAGTCACTGAATTTAAAATTTTCTTAAAGCAATCGTCATTATCTAACCATGCAATAGCTTTGAAGTTTTCATTCGAATATACATCTGCTTCATTAAATGTAAAACCTGACTTCTTTGCAGAGATGACTTTAAAATCTATTGCATTTGTTTCAAAATTATATGCTATGGTAACTTCTGAAGGTAATGGGTGTCCTTCTGCTATAAGTTGTTCTCTCACTACCGTTTGAAGCTTTGTGTTAAAAACTTTCATGTCATCTCCTGTGTCTAGGTTCACATACACAGCAACAGGAAAACTATCTTGCTTCTTTGTTTCATCATTATACCTCAAAACATTAAAGTTCTTCAATAATATTGTCCTTCCTGCTGGAATACTTCTAACTTGTCTGATTTCAATAGCTTTCTCACCTCCTACATACTCTACCCAATGTCTTGGATATTCATAAGTATACTGACTTTCTTGAATTTTGGTTGGTTTCATCATAACATGTTCATAGTATATCTTTATACTCTTGTCAGTTAGACTCGGTGCTATGTTCTGAATATTTCTGACTTGCATTTTTAATGGAGATAAAATGAAGCATTTAATACATGACGTAGATGAAGACATGAATGAAACTACAGACAAACTTAACTCTTCTCTCATTCTTCCTTTCAGTAAGGACTATGAGTTCTGTTCAAATGGTGTTTATTTCTATTGTGGAAAGATGGGTTCAGGTAAGACATTTAACCTCATTCGTCATATACTCATAACAGAGCGTTTAGGAAACGACTCTTACTATGACCAAATCATTATATCAGCAACTTCAGATTCAATGGACTCAACAGCGAAAACATTTATGTCAAAAGTTCAAGCCTCTGTCGTTAAAGTTCCAGACAGTGAACTCATTGAATTTCTTCAACGTTACATTCGACGTAAGAGGAAATATTATGCCATCGTTGAATTTATACAGTCAGGAATGCAAAAGACTTCTGAGGAGATGGAAAGAATTATTGACAAACACCACTTACGTCAATACTCAGGAGTTTACGATATGAAACGACTTACAAACTACATTCTGTCAAAACTTTCAAAATACCCCTTCAAAAAGTATCCTTCAAACACTCTGCTCGTTTGCGACGACTTCGCCGGAAAAGGTTTAGTTTCAAAGCCTGACTCACCATTAGCTAACATCATAACTAAAGTCAGACATTACCATTTAATTGTAGCAATACTTATGCAAACATGGAGGTTTTTAGCTTTAAACATAAAACGTCTCATAACTGACTTCGTTATCTTTCAAGGTTTCTCACGTTATGATATTGAACTCATTTGGAAACAGTCAGGTATAACATTACCTTTTGAAGAAATTTGGGAAGCATATAAGTCTCTCATCTCTCCTCGTTCATACCTTGAGATTCATATCATGACTAATACCATTAAAGTCAAAAATATTCCATGGGAACGACCAACATTGTTTTAAAGTTTAACCTTCAATTGACTGATGGTAAACAAATTCCATGCATCTCTGTCGCCATTTCTGTTAATATTTTTGCTGTCATTCATATCATCCACTTCCCCATCCGTTAGCTTTTGAGGATATGCGTTAGAATAGCTGTTCTTAAATGAAGGCTTTTCACCTTTGAAAGCATAAACTCTATAACTTTCTGCATACTTTATGTTTGAACCTCCTGAGCCATCATTGACATAAATTTTTATAGGTTTCCACCCTTTGTTCATATTCCTGCTTCTTCCCTTAGCTCTTTTGTTCAGTAGTTCTACATCTTTATACACAGCTCCTGTCTCAGTGAATTCAACAATATTTTCATTCGTTAGCTTTACATTCAAACCCTTGTCGAGTATATTGTTCATTTCATACATATAAAAGGTTTTTATTCTATATGAAATGAGAAGCAAATCCATCTTAGCTGGTGCCGTTAATGTTCCAATTGAACCAACATCAAATGTTGACTCACGAACGACAAACAATATTGTCATAAAGAACTATAGTTCAGAGTGTTTGAAAGAAAAAGAACCAGAGCTGAAATCCGTGAATTTAAACTCAGCTTCAAACGCTAACGCTACATCAGATGTTAAGTTAGAGTATCCACCACTGGACCAAATTCTTTCAAGAGAAGCCAACGACAACCCTTACACAAATGTTCAAACAAATCCTTCAGATAACGTAGACCATTACCTTCTTCAGTTATACCAAACAATTTTACTCAAAGACGATAAGAAGCTTTTGGTAAATCTTATAAGCAAGAACCAAATAATTCTAACAAAGGAGGACCTTGAAAATGTTATATCACGAATAACAGGGAAACAATGTGTCATTGACTATCTCGACCCTGAAATCGAATGCTGTGGTCAAACGCCACCATTCATGAAAATAGGTAACATCCGCATCATTGAAACACCAGGAACTACAGGAGTTGAGTTTAAGTATAAATATTCGAACGAGTATACAAAACTTTCAACAGAATATAAGCTTTGTTTGAAATATGTTTTAGTAAATTAAAGCAGTCAGGAGGGCTCTTTGAGCCCATCTTGGCGCTTTGCGCCGTCAGTCAAAAAAAATTTCAAGTTAGCAATTTGTAATATCTATCCAAAACTTCTTCAACAGTATCGAACTCATCTTCATAATGCAAACCTAATCTTATTGACTTGGTGCAGTTTTCACTAACACAATATTTTTCTGTTCTCTTGACTGACATAACTAACTCATTTGTTTCATCAAACAGCAACAACCAAAGTTCATGACCTAATACATAACATTCATACTTTATATTTTTAGCTCTGAGTTCTCTTGTAAGCCGTTGCATTTAATATTTTCTAAAAAGTCAACTTCAACAGTCATTCGCACTGGTGCCTTCAGTTCTACAGGCTCTCCTTGAAAGTCAACAAGTCTGAATTGCATGTCTTTCAAATTATGAGGACTAATGCGAACCCATTTACCTAAATGGGTTGCTATGACAGGAACGTTTGGAATGAACATTGAATTGACTACATAACAGAAGGATTTATATTCTACTGAACCTTTACTATTAACTCCTGAAATACCTGTGACATTAGCTATTTTTGACTCAATGTACAAACAGTTGCCATAATATACGTATGGAACAGATTTCATCTCAATCGTTTTGTCAACACTTTTCAAAGGAAATGTCATATGGTATGCTCCCAAAAGAAGTTGTACTCTATGACTCATTCTTGGTATCTTAAACTCTTTCGCATAACTGAACTTCAAAACTCCTGCAATAAGTTTAACATTCATTAAGTTTTCTTCGTTATCCTTGTTTATTGTAGTATTTATGAGAGCATTTAACACTCCAGCTAATGTTTCCATCTTATATTCTACATTATTGTGAAATCTTATTTCATGCTTCTTTCCATCTATTTCAAGCTCCATGAAATCTGTTTCATCTGTTATAACGAATGAAGCGATAGTATTGAAGTCAACCATTCTGAATGCAAGCGCCTCATTCTGTAGACCTAAGTTTGTTTGTAGTTTTACTGTCCCGTATTCGTTTGGGTCTGTACTTTGCAAATCGAACAACATTTTATTCTCATTAAAATATGAGTATAGCTGCATATGCGTATGAAGCTGACAGAGCTAAACGTTTATATTTTGGTCAATACTCTCTCACACTTACTGACAAATATATTGTTATCAGTGATGGAAATACCGAGAAATACATAACATGGAAGGACTATGAAAAGTTTGACCCCATTTTAACTCCATGCACTATGCCGTTTATAAAGGACGGTGAAATTATTGAAAAAGATAATACAACCGTATATAGGTCTGTTTATGAAGCATTAGAATATATGTTGAATCATAATCCCGAAAGATTTGATCCAAGCACTACGTCATGTACTATGCCGTTTATAAAGGACGGTGAAATCGTAAGAGTTCCGGATTCAACGGTTTACACAGCTGTTCAAAACAGTTTACAAAACATTTTAGCGAATATCTTTAATTCAGAAACTACAGAAATAAAATTACCATATATAACAGATGCTAAAGAAATTAAATCAAAAACGACAACATTATTTACGTCACTTAATGATTTAATGACTTATATCATTAATATTCCTGCACCAACTACAGCATTTGATCCAAACTCGACGGTTTGCAGTGTACCTTTCATAAATGACAGTTCATTAATTGCTTTAAGGGATTCAACAGTAAATGAATCATTAAAGGCGTCATTAATGAAAATCATTGATTTTAACTCATTCACGAATACATATAATTCATTCATTAATGTTTCATATGCTTCTAAAGAAGGTGAGCCAAAAACTATCGATAAAGCGGTGTATGAAATAAAAGCATCAAGACGAAATTGAATTCGTTAACTTTTGACGGTGATAGTTTCGTTAATGACATAACATCGGGGAATACAATTTTAACGAAAGAATACTTAAAATCTCATGTTAGTGAGTTCGTTGAAATTGAAAAAGAAGGTGGAATTAAGTTCGATCCACTGAATTTCATTTTCAGCTTAGCGAATGCGGGTGTTAGTTTCGCTGAATGGACAACTATACAGAGTGAAATAAATGCAATATGGACGTTTTTGGGGTCAAAAGCGGGAATGGGTGAGCTTGTAAATGCTGCAAGAACATTAGGTGAAACAGGAAATTTTGTAGATGGTTTTAAAAGACTTGTTTCAAATGTTTTAACAAACACAAAGAAATTATTTAGATATACCGTACATAACGGACGGATTTTCGAACAGATAGCAACAAACCCTCCGGTTATGGCTGCGTTGATGATGGTTAGAGATATAAAACCACATAACGACGGGAACGAAGAACATGAACAACAGGATACTGGTCGGGTTATTCGAGACATTAAAAACGTGTATCCTGAAGTTATTGATTTATTTAGAGGAGTTAATGATTCAATTTCAAAACATTCTATAACCCTCGATGAAGAGAATAAATTAACAGATTATATATTCGTCATTATTGCAGAATTAATGAAGAGAATAAATGAAAAAGGAATTGGTGATATCATTAATGTCAGCGATGTAATGATGAAAAGAAATTTTGACTCATTATTTACAAAACCGAAAACAGAATATAGTCTTTATGACGTAATTACCGAATTAATGAAAAAGATTAATGATAATAAGAGTTCTGGCGGAAGAGTTGAATTAGAAGTGAATGATGTTAATGAGAAATTAGCCGAAAAAGCAGACAAAAATGAGCTTTTAGCTCTGAGTGATAAAGTCAAGAACCACGTTCATTATGTAACTTTAGACGAACAGATTATAACGGACTACCATGGATATTTAACACAGGATGAACAAATAAGCACTGAAGATGTTAATGAAAGAAGATATAAATACATTCGTGCTAAAGGTTATGACATAAGCTGTACTGTACATTATGACACGGGTAAAGCGCTAGAAGCATTTAGTTATAACGATGAAATTTATGCCTCTACTTTCTCTGTTAAAGGTGTATTAGTTGAACCAAGATTTACATTGAGAGTTAAGGCAAAAATAACTTTTGAAGATGCTATTAAAAGTAAAGCTGACAAAGTTGAACTCGAAGCAATGAACAAAGTTTTGAAATCTCATAAACACAACATCTCCGATATAAATGAACTTCAAGCTACATTAGACAGTAAAGCCGACAAGAACCATACACATAAATCCTTCACTACTGTTAGAGCAGACGACATAATATTGAACTATACCCTTGGTTCAAGTGCACCTTTAGAGAATCCAAGTACAAGCGTAAAAGATACACTAAACTCCTTAAATAGTAAATGTATGAACATTGAAGGTCATGTCAGAAACTTTGAAACACATGAACTACCAGCAATGTTAGATAAAAAAGCAGATAAAGAACATACACATAAATCCTTCACTACTGTTAGAGCAGACGACATAATATTGAACTATGATTTGGGTTCAAGTGCACCTTTAGAGAATCCGAGTACAAGCGTAAAAGATACTCTTAACAATTTAGATAACAGTTGCAGGAATATCGAAGGTCATGCCAGAAACTTTGAAGCATATGAACTACCAGCAATGTTAGATAAGAAAGCAGACAAAACAGAGCTTCAAACATTAAAGACTGAAATACTTCAAACATTATATCCTGTTGGTTCTATTTATACGTCAATGAACTCAACAAATCCAGAAACAGTTTTAGGTTTTGGTACGTGGGAGCAGATTATAGACAAATTCTTATACTGTGCTAGATATTCAAAGCAAACAGGAGGTTCGAAGAAAATTAAAGAAGCAAACCTTCCACCGCACACTCATACAGGAACTACAAACACAACAGGTAATCATTCACATTCAATAACAAAAAGAGGTTATAGAAA